CAATCAAAAGACGAAATTGATCAAGGTCAGTGTGACTTTCCCTGATTACGTTCCCTGCATTGTTTTCCCAGTTTTCGTTAATGTTCCTGTCACTATTCATTGTCTAAATAGTTTGTATATTTAGGAAGTGCAAGACGCCGTCTTGGGTAAATGGACAAATGATGTTCATCGAATGGATAAAAAGATGCTCTCTCTTATAATATTAGCTCATGCTTCCGATGTACTTGAAAATGCATTTGCACCATTAAGTGATCAGGACTACGAGGTTTGTTTTATAGTATTGACACAACACTTTCCGATTCTTGCTTGCTGGTGTAGAAGCGTTACGCTTTGTCCGAATATAGTATTTGTCAGGACATCTGTTTCAGGTTGCCATGAAGAGAGTACGATCTTTGCTTGAATTAGAATACGATGTACAAGCGGAGAAGAAAGGAAACGAAGTGATGTGGGCTGTTTTTGAAGCGTTTAGCAAGTGAAGATGGTAAGTGTCGATTATTTTATTTTCCTATTATGTCTACCATGTGGGTATAAAAGTGCATGAAACTTTTATGAACACTGCACGTCCCTAAAACGTCTTATTGATCACATTGGGCAGTCTTCTGTTACGTCTGTTTGCATCCGAAAATAATGTATGAGAATAGCAGATGTTTCCCATCCGCTGGTGCCTACGTAGGATTCAGGGAGATTTTAGGCGTTGCTTTTCAATCGGCTTACCCATTTCATCTTTGAGTGCATGACAGAACTTGAAACGGAATTTGTGCCTGTTTGGCTTTGCTTTCTTGAAAAAAAGAAAATTGTCTTCTTGTCATAATATCTGCTGTACGAAGTGAATGATGTTTTACATTCTTTTTTCCATTCGCGGCGCTATGTTTTGCATTTCATCTTCAAGCAAGAAGCACAATATTGGCTATGGTGTAGAATCAATCTTGGGAACATGATGATGATAGTTCGAGCGCACGTACATTTGTTACGGCTGTTTGACAAGTTTAAACAGTCCATGTGAAATTGAGCATTTTCAATTTCTGAAAACCCATACACTATTTTTGACAACAAATTGCACGTTAATTTTTTTCTAGTCGTTAGTGCGCCTCAAAATAACGTGGCGGCTTTTTCGCCAGTTTTGCAAATTCTGGCTTTGAGACGGCTGAGTAAATAAAAGCGATTGGACAGGAATGTGAAACACTGCGTTATTCAAGAGCTTTGTCGGTCATTTGCTAAACCCTCACCAAGGTTTTTCGATTGTATTGGGATTAGAAAGGGCTCGTGAATGACGTCTTTACGGGCATCGATGGGTAATATTGAGCATCGTCTGGTTACGAGAGAAAAAAGTAATTATATGGATTATGTTGTAGGAAATAAACTTTTAGATATTGAATTATCTGTCCGAATGACATTTTTACTATATATCGTTTTTATAGATTTATCACATGTCGTTATTTCGAAGTGCGAGTCAGAATCGTCCGTTGCAGTATTGCATGTAATGACAACGCCGCTGCCGTGTTGGCTAGAATTTATTGTCCACTTGTTAGTTGTCGCTTATATGGGTGTAAGGGAACATATTTATTGCAATGCCATCCAAGAGGGGATGCTTAAAACTGCTTGAATGGTAGTTATGCGATAGATAGAGCCCGGCTTTACCCCTTCTCCCTCTCTCTC